TGTTCTCCAACTGGAAAAAATAATTAAAGAGGGCATACAAAATTAGATTTCTTGTTGTCCTTGATATCTAAGTACAATATTAACCAGATCAGCTGAAGTGTCTGCAGAAATAAGACACTTTCGATACAAAACATGCGCAAAAGAGCTACAAAGTCACGTGATGTTTGTTATGGCCCCGGGAAATTTACAATTCGCCGGAATCGCGATCGCTTTCCTTCAATATTTCGCTCACGCGTTCTATAAAAATCTACCACGTGCATTTTCCTGTCTTTTCTAGTGAAAGCTACCTACAGCTAGAAATGGGAGAGATTTCACAAGAGAAATCGATAGAAAATTGCACAGACAAAACTGAATAAATCTCATTCATTGTTTCTTTGTTGGCTGATCTTTTGAATATTGGCTTTCTTTTTATATTTTTTCCTGGTTGAAAATCAAACAAGTTATTAACAATGACAAAAACACATTACGATTCCATCTTTTTCGTTGACAACTGATTCATGATTACTGCGGTTTGTAAATATCGGAATAAAATCTATTGATATACTTGCTTAAACAAAACAAATTCATTAGCTAGCAGGCCTCAGCTAGTTATGATAAGGATTAAAAAACCACAGGAAATTGCTGAATCATCTGTTACGCATGCATTCTGCCCACAATCATAGCACACAACCAAAATCTGTCTCGATTTTATTTTTCAAGAAGCAAAAGCGACACTGAGGAAAGACAGAAGATTTTTAACAGTTGACTGGCTGTCATTTCGTGTCCCCCATGTACTTCTTACAATGCACACGCGCACGGAAAGGTTAACTGAATTCAACAGTTTACCCTGAAAGACTTGTGACTTACTCAAGCTTCTTCTTTGGTTATAGGGAATTCTAAGGTAAATCTAGAGTAAGCTTATACATTTTTAAAAGCCCAATGATGTATTTCTATACTGAGGTCACTGATTAGTTGGACGGAAAATGTCACGCATCGCAGCAGAATGCAGCTTGAACGCTGATGCTTCACCATCGCATCATCTTATATTAAAGCAGATTAAAGAAGTTAAATGACTTACTTATTGTCGAATATGGCAGAATAGGATGTAAAGAAAAAGTTCAGTGAAGTTAAAAGTTAAGTTCTTTAAGGCAAGCTCGTAACTGACATGCCGTGAAAGATATCACATTAAGCTTAAACTCAGCGAAAACAAACTCAAGCGCTGACCAATGTCACAGCTTTTAAACTTGACCTTACTTGAATTCAAGCGACAGAGTTCGAAGTTGTACTTCTTTGGCTTAGGTTTCGACTCCAGATTGAAGTCCCAAATGTTTTTACCCGCAGCCATAGTTGCCTTGATGTCTTCACGGACCTTCACGGCGTTCGACTCGCTGCTCGAAGCAACCGTTTCCCGGCAGACTTTGTAACCTCGTGAATGAATTTATCAGCACCGTCATCACTGTCATGCAAAATGGCGCCGATATTATAAGGGTTTCAGCCCGTTTCAGCCCTATTCCGCCCCTAGCGGGTGGAAGAAAAGGCCAGTGGAGCTACTTCAAAAATTGCCAGAAGGAGGAGGGTGCATTAAGAATGTGACGTTGGATTTCTCGACACCCTTGGAACCCTTAGTACAAGTTGGTGGGTGTATGGGGACCAATTTGATCGGATGACTCCATACAAATCCAACTAACTTGATCGGCCTGGATCGGATTTAGGCTATTTATTCGATTAACCGCCCTGGGCACTTATTAAATAGTGGGCGCTTATTCGAGGCTGGGCGCTTATCGAATTTTTACCATTTTCAACAAGTGTAGTACGTTTATTTTGCAACAAAACAATCAATGATAATAACAAAACGCAAAGATGTAACAAGGTTTTTGTAAAATACTCCGAAGAAAACTGTGCCTTTGGGAAAGTCTCTTATTTGAAATTATTCAATTTAAATTTAAATTTCAATCTCATTGTCACTCTTCAAGTCAATTAGTGAATTCTGTTTATTGTTTGTTTGCCAAAAATTGTACAAATCAAATAAAATCTAATTACTTAAACTATCATGGCGAGGAAGCCCAAGAGAAGCCACCGGGCTTATAAAGAATGGGCTCCCTCAGTTAGATAATTAGAACAAAATATTATCATAATTACACATGGGAAAATCAATGGCAGAGCTACAGTAAATCTTAAAATAAGTATATTAGATAGTCATACTAATCATAGTTCTAGGCTAAAAAAAGCGAAATGACAAAAAGAAAGAAAAAAAATTCGAATTTCAAAACTAAGAGAGTTAAAAAATAGGTGCTGCCTCCTCGATGTCGGGCATCGCAACGTCGATCGGTAAATGGGTTAGTCGCCCGAAAAGCAGATACAGCTTATTTGCGTTCGAGTGGGAGGGGCGAGGGGTGGGATTGAGTGGCAGCTTATTAACTTTTTCTGCCTTTAGGATGGGCGCTTATTCGAGATGGGCGCTAATTCGAGGTTGGGCACTTATTCGAATAAATCCGGATGGAGTCCTCGGAAGCATAACGTTACTTATAACTCTTAACCAATTTGCACCAACTGCACCAACAGGCTGATT